GAGGCATCTCCTTGTTCCTCTCACACTGCGGTGTCCCCGCAAGAGCCCGTGGTGAAGTCTGCCGATGGATCGTGGAAGCTCTGCTTTTCTTAGTCAGTCGTAAGGATCCCGGCTGCAGCCGGCCTGCAGCTCTGTCGCCGTCCTCGCGTGAGCTTCTCGCCCGCTGCACACGCCACACTGCAGCCGAGATGCTGCGGCTTGGCGTGCAGCTGGCGACAAAGGGTGGCCAGAGTGAAAGCAGCCTGCCAAGGCTGGCCCTACCCCTCTCTAACGAAAGGGCAAGGGGATCCGAGAAACCCGAGGCGGGAGAAGGGGAAGCTCCGGACCGCAGCTGGGACAGGCGGCCTGCCAGGAGGGTTATGTTAAAGAAGGAAAATTAATCTGGCTTTACAGCTGGTTGTGGCCTGGGCTGTTTCTGCATCCTTGGCTTTCCAAGCTCTGCCGGCTGCAGAGAGTGAGCCAAGGAAGCCAGTTTCTGCCAAAAGGAAACATAAAAAGCGAGGCTGGAGACTGGGTCGCGGCAGGGTAGGAGGCTAGGGCGTCTGGAATGGCCTGGGGCAGCGGCGGCGGCGTCTGGGTCCCCAACCCGGGGTAGCTTCTTTCAAGACAAACAAAGGCGAAGGTGCAGAGGTTCAGAAGCCGGAGATGATGGGGAAATCAGTTGTCATGAGAGAGAGAGAGAGAGAGAGAGAGAGAGAGAGAGAGAGAGAGAGAGAGAGAAGTGAGAGGCAGAGAGAAGCCGGGAGAGGAATTCAATGCCGTGTGCGCAGCAATAAAAGAATATGACCGCTATAAAAGTTTATAGGGTATAAATTTCTGAAGGTTAAGAAACTAAACAGCAGCAAAGCAAACAGTGAGGGGAAACTTTCCGGAGATGAGCAGCGGATGAGCCTGGGCTCCGGACCTGGTGGGAGAATAGGTGGGCCTTGTTACGAAGCCCCCACCCTGGCCCTTCTTGCCCCCAGGTCTGGGGCTTGGGGTCTGGAACTTGGGAATCATCAGGCGGTGGGATGGGGTTCCGGGAGGGTAAAAAGTAAAGAAGCTAGCAGCCGGGAGGACGAACACTTTGCTGTCCCCAAAGCCATAGAAATTCTGACTGCTGTCTTTGTTCTTTACACACACCCCTCTAGAAGCGCCAGTCATAAACAAGAAACCCTTGCACACGCAGGGACACACACACACACACACACACACACACACACACACACACACACGACCCCGCGGGGCCAGACGTCTGGGGGAAGAGTAGCCCCTCTTGATCCTTCTCCAGTTCCATTCCATCACCTCAGACCTTCTCGTCCCTCACAAAAAGGCCGATTGTTACCCGTCAGGATGTGAAACGATCAAGTGTAGGGCTTAAAAAGTGGTCCTCCTCTTACTGACCATAAACAGTGCATTGCTTAGCATCTCCAGCAGGAATTAGGGGCTGGGTGGATTTATAGCTTCTTTTCCTTTTAACTTATCTGAACTGTTTCATGAACAGTTTCCTGATTCCGAAGCCTTCTCTCTTATCTGCTTTCATTCCTCTCCCCTATTTCTAGTAATAATGAAAGTTTAATCGTTTGTCGCTTCCTCTGCGGGTTCTCAGAATCTGGCTGAGCAGATGGAGGACATCTTTTTTGCAGAGCGGCCGCTAGATGGCACCCTTGCTCCATGTGAATTTTTCCAGGGCCGAGGTTGAGGGCTCCTGCGGCTCCACACAGCACTCCGTTCGGCCCTGTATCCAGGAACTCAGAGCTACCAAAAGTCGTGAATAATTTGCGCATAATAAAAATATAGGGCTTGTTATGGCCCTTTCCCCTTATTGTATGTATTTCAATTATAGTGGCGTTTCTCTCTCTCTCCGCAACTGGTTCATTTTCTGAATTCCTCACACTAAGAAGGCTGTTTCCCAGTTGTTGTGTTTGGTGGGGCGAGAAATGCGTGGAAACCGGGGATAATATTAATAATAGAAATATGGAAATAATGGGCCCAAATCAAGGAGGCGAATTGGTTTGGAGAAATGAGATTTCCCTGCCGTGGAGGCAGGCGAGAGGAATGAAGTGCAGGCCAGCGGGTCAGGTGAGAGGGATGAGCCGGCAGGTCTCTGGAAGAGGAAGCTGCCCCAGGCCAGCTCGCCACACCTGCTGCAGGAGAGCGAGTCCGATGTGCCACCCCGTAGATCCCCAAATCTGGAAGGAATGGGGAGCCGGCTTTGATGAAGATTCCGTGGTGCCCCAAGCCAGAGGGCCCCGGCTGCTCCTGGGCTCTGACTCCAGAGCCTTTGTACCCGTCCAGGTCCGGGCTGGGCAAGTGTCTGGCCACCCAGGCTCCGGCAGGGTCTCCCTAGGGAGGTGGGATGAGGGTTGAACGCTGCGACAGCCCTTGGGAGGCTCAGCCAACACCCTGAGCATTTTCTGGATAGGAGCAGGGGCAGGCATGGCCTTGGGGGAGCAACCTCTGAGTTTTCCTCTTTCTTGGGCTTCCAGGTGAGGGCCGCGGCTCTGTCCCGCGTGCCCAGGCTCTGCCCTTGGCCCCCCTGCTCAGGGCAGCGGTGGGGAAGCCGGTCCTTCTGCCACGCAGCAGCTGGAGGCCTGGGTTTTCGTTCGGTGGCCGCCGCTCTGACTGCCTATCACCCCTTCGGCTGATTCCCAATCTTCAGGTTCCTCCTCTCGGCCCAGCCTGAACCCGCCTCCCACTGGAGCTGGGGTGGGGGGAATAGCAAGTCACCCCCCCACTCCGTGACCCCAACTCTAGCCTCTTCTTTTTCCGCAGGACCAGGTGCAAAGAAAGCGCGGAGTGTCTCCACTTGAGTTTCTCCAATAAATCTGCGCTCCGTTGGGTGTTTATAAATTATCTCCGCGCTCTTTCTTGTTTTTTCTTATAACAGAAACATTTTCCTTCCATCAGAAATTTCTGGCACGGTGAAGGGATGATTTAGAACAAGCCATTGAATTTCTACCTCACCAGTGACTCCTCAAATCATGACCATAAAATCCCCCGCACTTGATAAAAATGTGCGCTTCCGCAACAACTTGACTCAGCCTTAGGTTGCCTCACTGTCCCCTCAGCCTTGAGCTAAAAAAACCCCTCTTTCTCGCTGTCCCCCTTTTTGGTCCCCCTTTTATTCGGTGGACTTACTTTAGAAGATTGAATGAAAACAGAACAGCTGGCTCCCTTGGAAACGCTGTGGTTTCATTTTTACAAAGGTTGGGGCTCAGGGGATCCCCCAAAGAAGCCTCCTAGAGAATCAGCAATAGATTGAATTTATTTGTAAAATCGATTCGGCCTTTGTTCTAGAAAAAGTCTGTCTCCTCCCTGTCTCCCCGGCCCCTTTTGCACATCCGCTGCCTCTGGAGGCCATTGGTTCTGACTCTCCCCTGGGCCTCCCAAGGTCTCTCTGCCACCAGCCTGTGTCAGGTACACGGATAAGGCTCTGTGCTCCCGAGTGGGGCAGCCCGTCAGTTGGGTTCCTCGGTCTGGGTTTGAGGCCTCAGATCTTCAGATGTTCAGGGTTTAACTAAAGGCACCCCGAGAAAAAGGAAAACGGAGACCTCAGTGGCCTTGCTTTATCTGAACCCCTTTATCCAAGGTCAGTGCAGGTGGTCATTGGCTCTGGGGACAATAACAGGTACCCTTTAAACACACACCTCGCAGCCTTTGCCTAGGGCACCGGAGGGAGGGTATGGCAGTGACCAAGGCCTGGCCGCCCAGGCTCAGCCTCCATCACCCTTACCTCTTTGGTGTGTTGATGAGATTGGCAGTGTTTACACCTGGAAGGTCTGTGTGGCAGGGATAGAGGATTGGCCCCAGCCCGGGCTGGGGAACTGGATCCCAAGCTCTGGGCACAGGTGTGGAGCAGCCATGGTCCTTTCGATAGTTACCAGACCCTCTCCTCTCCCCCAGCCTTCCCTCTAAAGTGCTGAGTAGGCCAAAGTACCTCAAGACCCCCCCTCTCTTTCCCTTGCAGCCCCCCCCCCCAACCACCAGCAGGTAAAAGCCTGTGTGAACTGCAGAATTGGCAACCTCCGCACAAACTGGCTCTGCCTCAGCATCTTCCATTAACCAGAAAGTTTCTTCTTCCTCTCCCAGGCCCACTCAGACCCCCTTTCCACAGAAAATCCTTGTGCCCTTGGCTTAATGAGAGAAAGTTATGTCTGTGACTTGGGCGGGGACAGATCTTGGGGTGGTGGTGGTGGTGGTGGTGGTGGTTGGGGTCTCCAAAGAGGGTGTGGGGGCAGGTGTGTCTGCAAGGCTGAAGGAGGCAAAAAAAAATCTCGGGAAACTCACCGTTTGCGCCGAAAAGGGAAAAAAAAAATCAGCAGCAACCCATAATCGCCTCATTTCAGCTTAGTCACCCCCACCGCGCTTCAGTTGGGCGGCGGGGGCGATCGAAGCTGCAGTTTTATAGCTGTAGAGGAAAGAACTCGTAAAATGCTAACAGCTTTTATGCGCTGCGGCATAAACAACAACAGACTCCGGCTTTATTGCGTTTTATAGTTTGTTAAAGACTTTACAGCCGTTTTTGGGGGGCTGGTTACCCAGCCAATTCCCTCCACACGATAGTTAAACCTTTATCAATAATAAGGAAATTGATCATTAAAGCTTTAAATATGACTACCTCGTTTGTTTGAAAATATGTTTAGGAGAGGAAGCTGTATGATTTGATAACTTGTATTAAAATACCAATTACATTTATAGGACCTTTTAAAACTCGGCGCAATTAAACCGTGTTCTTTTACATTTTTCCGAAGCGACCCTGACATTTAGAAAGACTCCAATTGCCTCGTTAAAATCGCGAAATTAACAGCGTGCCTACGCCAGGCGCGGCGTTGTGGATGTGTGTACGCGTGGTGCTTTTCCGTGACTCCCCCACATCAGTCTTTGGGGGTGGTCTGCGAAGGTATTTGATTTGTTGTGAGGCAAGAGATATCTCATTAATGTAGGTAGTTAAACAGATTTAATCCGTATTCGTTCTCTCTCCCCCCCTCCCTCTCCCCCCTCTCCCCCTCTCTCTCCCTGGGTGTTTTTTTTCCCCCTTCCCCTCCTTTTTCCCCTGCCCTCTCCTCACTCCCTGGCGCTCTCTCGCTCTAGCTCTCTCTCGCACTCGCTCTCTCTCGCTCTCACCCTCGCTCTGCGTTCTGTCCGGGAGGAGTACCCAGAAGCCAATAGGATGCGGGGTCTCTAATGGATGCAAATGATGGAGAAAAGACGGGGCAAAATATGAAACAACTCATTTGGAGGGAAGTAAATCACCGAAAACTGTTTATGAACTGGCATCCCTTCTTCGAAATGTAAAGCGAGGACCTCTTTAAGTGGCGGTATATTTTTGTTTGGGGGGTGGGGGGTGGGGGGAGGGCGAGCGAGCCGCGGCTGCCATGCAGGCTTAGACTTTTGCAGGCTTCGCTCTTCTATTCCTGGAAATCACAAAAAGTGTAGCGGCTTCGAGATCTTCTTCGCCTTTTCTTTCTTTTCCTTCCTTCCTTCTCTCTTTTCCCCCCCTCCTCCTCCCTTTTCCTCTCCTTTCCAGGCGAGGGTGACTAGGAGCCGGCGAATCCGCGTTTTTTTTCTCTCTGTCTCTCTCTCTCTCTCCCTCTCTCTCTCTGTCTCTCTCTCTCTCTCCCTCCCTTTCCCCCTCCCCACCCCCTCCCCAACAGCCCCCAACTACAGCCTGCGCCGCCGCCGCCGCCTCAAAATTCAATAAAATGAGCTCTTATTTCGTCAACTCACTGTTCTCCAAATACAAAACCGGGGAGTCCCTGCGCCCCAATTATTATGACTGCGGCTTCGCCCAGGACCTGGGCGGCCGACCCACCGTGGTGTACGGTCCCAGCAGCGGCGGCAGCTTCCAGCACCCGTCGCAAATCCAGGAGTTCTACCACGGGCCATCGTCGCTGTCCACGGCTCCCTACCAGCAGAACCCGTGTGCCGTGGCGTGCCACGGGGACCCCGGCAACTTCTACGGCTACGACCCGCTGCAGCGCCAGAGCCTGTTCGGTGCGCAGGATCCAGACCTGGTGCAGTACGCAGACTGCAAGCTCGCGGCCGCCAGCGGCCTGGGCGAGGAGGCCGAGGGGTCTGAGCAGAGCCCGTCGCCCACACAGCTCTTTCCCTGGATGCGCCCTCAAGGTGAGCTCCCGCCGGGCCTACCGGGGTGGGGAAGGGGCCGGGAGGACCCCAGGCCGGCCGGCCGGGGGAGGGGGGGCTGGGCAGGCCGGGAGCATCTTCTGCTCCTCCAGGACTTGTGGGCTCCGTTCCAATCAGCTACCTCTTCTGCCTTCCTCCCCACTTTCTTTTCTTTTTCCCCCCTTTTCTTTTTGCTTCCTTTGAAGGGGGGGGGTCGCCAAGTGAATTTCCTGAATCCATAAACCCCTCACCCTCCTTTACTTTTCTTCTTCTCGCCCTCTTCCCCCCCTTTTACTGTTTTATGGGGGCTGTGGAGAAAGAGCGGAGGGAGCGGGGGCGCTCGGCGTTTGCACTTCTCAATTGCTTTATAGTTTAATTACCCTGAAGAAACTTTTCTTCTGGGGCAGAGGCTCTGGGGGCTTTTCAAGGTGGGTTCGTGGGTCCCCACTCTGGCTTTTTATTCTTATTCCCTTCTCCACATCCTTCCTCCTAAACTTTATGGCACTTTTAATATATTTGAACCCCCCCCCCTCATTCTGGTGCTGGTTACCAGGGGAAGGGGCTCCCCCTCTTTGGCCCCCGCAGATTCAGGGCTGTCTAGTCCCCCTCGCCCCCCCCCCCCTCTCCCTGCTGACCGCGGCCTCCGAGCGCTCCCTCCCGCCCCCGCATAAGGGTCCCCTGCCCTCATTATCCTGGTCTCCCAGGCTGGTTCACGAATCTTCCAACCTTCTCTGTCTCTGCCCCCTCCCCCACCCTCCCCTCCGTCTCGCCCTTTTCCCCCCTTCCCAGCAGCCGCCGGACGCAGGCGAGGCCGCCAGACCTACAGCCGCTACCAGACCCTGGAGCTGGAGAAGGAGTTCCTATTTAATCCCTATCTGACTCGCAAGCGGAGGATCGAGGTATCGCACGCGCTGGGACTAACAGAGAGACAGGTCAAAATCTGGTTCCAGAACCGGAGGATGAAGTGGAAAAAAGAGAATAACAAAGACAAGTTCCCCAGCAGTAAGTGCGAGCAGGAGGAGCTGGAGAAAGAGAAGCTGGAGCGGGCGCCAGAGACCGCCGGCGAGCAGGGCGATGCGCAGCAGAAGGCCGACAAGAAGTAGGGCTCCAGCTTGGGACTGCTTGGGCCGGGGCTTGCCCGCACGTCCGCCGGTCCCTCCCGCGACCACACCGCCGCCGCCGCCGCCGCCGCCGCCGCCGCCGCCCGCTCCCCCGCCTCCGAGTGCTCCGGCCCCGGCCCGCGAGCGGAGCCAGGAGCTGGGCCTCCCACCGCAGCGTCCCCGCCGCGCCAGTCCCCGCTAGTGGTAGTATCTCGTAATAGCTTCTGTGTGTGAGCTACCGTGGATCTCCTTCCCTTCTCTTGGGGGTCAGGGGGGGGGACAAAAAAAAAAAAGGATTTTAAACAAGGACTCCCTCGCCTTGCGAGGGTGAGCGACTGCTGCCTGCCAGAGCCCCCCTCGCCCCCACCCCATGTAAAAAATCCTCCTTGTGCAATGGTCTTTTTTTTTTCCTTTGAACGTGATTCTTTGTAATGACCAAGGTACCGATTTCTGCGAAGTTCTCCCAACAACATGAAACTGCCTATTCACGCCGTAATTCTTTCTGTCTCCCTCTCACTTTCTCTCTCTCTCTCTCTCTTTCTCTCTCTCTCTCTTCCACCGCGTCCTCATCTTTCCTCGCAACCCCGCTCCCCGCTGCCCTCCCTAGCTCGCTGGCTTTCTCTCTTGCTTCTCTCTTTTTCCCTCCTGTCCCCCCCCCCACCTCCTTTGGTTTGACAATTTTGTCTTAAGTGTTTCTCAAAAGAGATTACTTTAGTTAGCATGCGCGCTGTGAGCAATTGTTAAAAGTGTTCTTAGGTTTGCTGTGAAGAGAATGTATCCTGTATCCGTGAATTGCTTTATTGGGGGGAGGGAGGGCTAATTATATATTTTGTTGTTCCTCTCTATACTTTGTTCTGTTGTCTGCGCCTGAAAAGGGCGGAAGAGTTACAATAAAGTTTACAAGCGAGAACCCGAGACTGGCCCGGGGCCGGCGCTCCTCATTCGCTCCCAGGCGCCTTGCAGGGCTCGGGGGGGGTGGTGGGGGGGTACGGGGGGGGGAGAGCTGGTCATCAGGCTCCTGGGCTGGCCTAGGCTAGGTCGCCGAGAGGAGGGGGCGGGGGCTGGAAGCAGGTGGTACGAGTCCCCAGGCCCAGAGGCGCAGGGGGTGAGGGAGGCGGCCGCACGCGATTGGAGGAGAGAGGATCGAGGGAGGGGAGCCAAAAGAAACCCCCTCCCCTTGCGTTCCGAGGCTGCGGGGCCCGGGAGACTCCAGCGCCCCGGCCGCTCCGGGGAAGAGATGTGCCCAAGCTGGTGGCTAGCACCCCCGGTCCCTTCTCTCTTTGTTTCCGTGTGTGTCCTGGGGTGGGGGGAGGCGGGGGGAGTGGGGGGGGGAAGGTGGAGTAGGCCGCTGAGTTTATATTTCCATTTTTCTCGGACTCAGGTTGGGGACCCGGGAGCAGAGGGAAGGGGTTCCTCCCTACCTCCCCAGCCTCTCTGGGCCGTCGCCACTTTCTCCCGGTTTCTAGGCCGCGGCTGGCCGCCCCAGCCTCCCTTTCCTTCGCCGCCTCTGCCTCGCTGGCAGCCACGCTCCACTGAGCGAGGCATCCGCCTTCCGGAACCGGGAAAGCCGCGAGCCGGACCCAAAGCGCCCTCCTCCCTTCCTTTTTCTCCCCACCCCCATTCCGTTCTTTTTATTAATATTTTTTGTATATCTTTTTATTGGCAATCCTTTTTTTTTTTCTTTAGTCACCAGAAACCTCAGCGTCCAACGCCTGTTGGGTTGGATTTCTGCCTTAGGAAAGCCTTGATCCACATCCAGTCACTACAGCTGGGGAGCTAAGAGAGAACCAGGAGGCCAGGCTCACCTCGTCCCTCGTCTTAGGAGAACAGCAGCAGCCCGGATGAATTAGCCCGGATTAATAAATACTCGGCCAGCACCCACCCACCAAGTTGCGCACATTCGATCCCTGCGTCTGTCTCTTGCTCTGTGACCGGCTGGGGGAAATGGGTGGGGGGGTGACAACACGGATCGCTCAGAGGTTATTTATTTTCCCTTCCACTCAATTCCTTCCTCCCCAAATCACGCCTGCAAGCTGCCTCCAGCCCGCGGGGGTCGACAGCGGCCCTTGAGCCCCCAGCCCCAATCCGCAGAGCTCGGCCTTCCCATTCATTATTGATCATATTTTATAAATCCAACGCCACACAATTTTTTCCACATTACTGAGAGCCGCCGGGAGGCCGTCAGATCATTGGCCGAGGAGATATCACGTGGGCCAGGGTCACGTGGTCCGGAGAGGAAAAAGGGGGTCCTTTTTGGTGTAAATCTGGACTCTAATTCTGTAATATATCAAGGAATCTCGTAAAACCGACACTAAAACGTCCCTGACTACAAATCATCCGGCCAAATTATGAGTTCATTGTATTATGCGAATGCTTTATTTTCTAAATATCCAGCCGCAAGTTCGGTTTTCGCTCCAGGAGCCTTTCCCGAACAAACTTCTTGCGCCTTTGCTTCCAACCCCCAGCGCCCGGGCTATGGAGCAGGTCCGGGCGCCCCGTTCTCCGCCTCCGTGCAGGGCCTGTACCCCGGCGGGGGGGGCATGGCGGGCCAGAGCGCGGCCGGTGTCTACGCGGCCGGCTACGGGCTCGAACCGAGTTCCTTCAACATGCACTGCGCGCCCTTTGAGCAGAACCTCTCCGGGGTGTGTCCGGGCGACCCCGCCAAGGCGGCTGGCGCCAAGGAGCAGAGGGACTCGGACTTGGCGGCCGAGAGTAACTTCCGGATCTACCCCTGGATGCGAAGCTCAGGTAACGCCGCGCACCCAGCGGTCCCGAGTCGCAACGTCCGGGCCACAGTCCCGGGAAGGTCCCCTTTCCCCGCAGGGCACCCCTCTCTGTGTCCAGGGTGCTCCCGGCTGCAGATCGGCCATTGCCACGCTGTTTAAGTCTGGCCTGGGACCCCGCGCGCCGCCCCCCACCCCCAGTTTTGCTGGGTGCTCTCTGGCCCGGGCGGATCTCCTTTTGCAGACGCCACAGCGCTCCAAGCCCCCAGCCCGCCCCCAACCCTTCCTCCGGGCCTTTTAGCTTTAAATATTTATCAGCAGCGCCGGCACGGGCTGGAGATGAGGCCGTTTGTCTTGCCTAGGAAGGCTGGGGTTTGCAGAGAATAGCCATTAGGGTCTCTCTCCTCTCCACCCCCCCTTCCCTGTCTGAGAGCTCAGTTCTGGGTGTGTCCCCCCAGCCCTAGCCCGGAGAAGATATGGAGGAGGGGGCCGTGGAGCTAAGCAGTTCTCCCCTCCCCCTTCCTTTCCAGCCAACCCCGCTCCCCGATTATTCCCATCAGGACAATTAGAGGTGGGCTCTAGAGGCCTGGCGGGAGGAGGGGGTACAGAAGAGCTGAGGACCCAGCCAGAGACACGGAGCCAGAGAGAGGTGAAGGGAGTTCATCTGAGGCCCAGAGCCATGAGTCTACTGACTCCTTCTGCCCCTGGTGGACTTAGCAGGGTGGGCTAGAAGAGGCAAGGGCCTCACGGGAGCAGAGCTTTTCCAGGTGCCTTTGCTCGGGCTCCGTGGACTCCTGGGGAAACAGCCAAGCATGGAGGGATCACCCCAGAAGGATGACTTTCCTTTGGGGAGAGGGCTAGGACAATATGGAACCAACCCAAGACTAGGGAGTCCGAGTCACCAGCGGCTGCTTTAGGGACCATAAGACACCAAGGCTTCCTCCAGGTCTCCTCCAAAACCCCCTCACACATCCTTTTTTTTTTTTTTTTTTTTTTTTAATTTCCTCAAGGCAGGTGGGTTTGGGGGCCAACTTCAAGGCTCAGAAGACCCAAGACTGTGGTCAGAGACTCTGAAACTCACCAGGGTTGGGGGTCATGAGCAACCCAGTTCTCACACCATGAGTATTAGTTTCAGGTCTTCTGTTACCTACCCTGTAATTGAACTGACTTTCCAGTTGGTTTACCAGACCCCCCCCCCTTTCCCTCATAAACATTTCAGCTTGGCTTATATTTGACGTGAAATTAAGGCCCTTAGTGCCCCCCTCCCCTCTGCTTCCTAAGAGGGCTCATACCAGCAGCTCCCCAAAGTCTCCTCAGGTTCTGGGCCTAAGCTGGAAGTTCTCAGGTACCCTTCGGCCTCACCATAAGAATCTTCACCTTCCTCTTTCATCTAGGCCAGGGATCTTCCTTCCTTTCTTCCCTGCAGTCCTGCAGACCCAAAGATGGCCTCAGACAATTAGGTTCCCTGGGCAGGAAGGCAGGCAGGTAGCCAGGCCTTGTTGATACTTTTGAGAGAGAATCATTGTTAGAATGTAACTGCTGTTAGACTAATAAATTTTCGAGGTCCAGGGAAGTAAATTTGTGCCTCTTTCCCATTCCATGGCAGGTTTGGGTGGGGACTACACCTTTGTTTCTTTTCTTTTCTTTTTTTTTTCCCTCTCAGACCAGGCCTGAGACACTAAGATGGCTTCCGGAGCCCCTTACCCCAAAGTTCACCTGAAAGAGAAAGGTCAGGCTTGGAGCCCCCGGCCCCAGAAAGTGACTGAGGATTAAATTGCCCCCATTCTATGCTAACTAACCCCTTAGGAGTAGAGCCTTCAGGGGCTAGCAGCTGAGATCTACCTGGCTTTCAGAAGCTCCTGGCTGAGAAAACCACCCTTCGTGGATAAGAGGACTATCTGGTGTGATGGGGCTGGCCTGTAAATCCAGGACTTGTAAACCCAACAATCACAAGGGTTGCTACCAGATCGAAGCCATTCAGAGGCTACATAGCAAGACACCCCCCCCCCAAAAAAAAGCAAAACAACTCCTATGGACACACACACAAATACACACACAGGAAAAGAAGAAAAGAAAGAAAGTGTTTGCCTTCGGAAGCTTAGAGAATTTTCTGCACATGGCAGAAAAAAGGGCATCATGAAGTGTGGGATAGAATATGGAAAATGTTAATTTGGTTCCTGCAATGTGGTCTTTTTCTGCCCGCAGACCTCACTAGGAAGGAGATGGGAATTCTCCTGGTGTTTTTCACCCACTGATTTTGTTTTGTTCTCTCTCTCTCTCCTAAATACTGTGAGTAGGGACTGACAGAAAGCGGGGCCGCCAGACCTACACGCGCTACCAGACCCTGGAGCTGGAGAAGGAGTTCCACTACAACCGCTACCTGACCCGGCGGCGGCGCATCGAGATCGCGCACGCGCTCTGCCTCACCGAAAGACAGATCAAGATCTGGTTCCAGAACCGGCGGATGAAGTGGAAAAAGGAGAACAAAACCTCAGGCCCGGGGGTCCCTGGCCAGGATAAGGCCGAGGCAGAGGAGGAGGAGGAAGAGTGAGGGACAGAGAAAGCACAGAGGAAGAGGGAGAAGAGAAGGAGAACCCAAGTTTCCAGTTCTGGAAACTGAAGCATGAAACTCAAATAAGGGGGAAAACTCTATTTAAATGAAGCAGTTTTAAAAAAAATAAGGAGAAGGGTGAAATTTGGGCTTCTCAACACTGTAAAAAAAAATACTACCTATGGGAAAGTGTGTTGTCTGTTTTTGTACAGTATGGGAAGGACATTATCTACCTGCTCAGTGGCTTTCTGGAATGTGCCTCCCCTTTTCTATGTTGCTAGTAAGGTCTTTGTAAAATCTTGCTGTTTTGTAAGCCCTCTTAGACGCTGTCTTTGTGGACTGTGGTTCCTCGCCTACCCCCATACTTCCCAGTAGAGACACAAAAAGGGCCTTAGGGAGCCTCGAGGACCCCACTAGCTCCTGCTGTCTGGTGCACTTGGCTGCTGATCCTGGCTCCTACCGGTTCCCATGATCCTCTTTCTGTATATCTAAAGGATGGAGAATAAAACAGGATTAAAAATCAACAGATTCTCTGCTTTCTGTCCCCCTGTGGCTGGGAGGGGATGAGGGTTGGTGGTGGGTGGGTGTCTCAGAGCCCTCAACTGGCCTCTTCTCTCTGTGTTCCGTTTTGCTTTGATTTC